CTCTTACCACAGATGTAATCATTCTGATTCCTGTGTATTCCATTTGGTGAAGTCCACATGTATAGCTGCCGTTGGCATTGTTGACAAAAGGTATTTGCAATGAGTCAGTCGTTGGTCTTGCAAAATTCTATCATGTGGTCTCCAGCATTATTTCTGTCACCAATGCCAAATTTTCCCAACTTCCAGTGATTCTTCTTTGTTTCCAACTTTTGGATTCCAATCACCAGTAATGATTAACACATCTTGATTGCATGTTCGGTCAATTTCAGACTGTAGAAGTTGATGAAATCTTTAATTTCCTCATCTTTTGCTTTGGTGGTTGGTGTGTAAATTTGAATAATAGTCATATTAACTGGTCTTCCTTGTAGACGTTTGGATATTATCGTATCACTAACAGTATTGTACTTCAGGACAGATCTTGAAATAGCCTTTGTGATGATGAATGCTACACCATTCCTCTTCAATTGTCATTCCCAGCATGGTAGGTCATATGGTTGTCTGACTCAAAATGGCCAAAACCAGTCCACTTCAGCTCATTGATGCATAGGATTTCAATCTTTATGCATTGTTTATTTTTGACAACTTCAAATTTTCCTAGATTCATGCTTCATACATTCCATGTTTCGATTATTAATGGATGTTTGCAGTTGTTTCTCCTAAATTTGAGTTGTGTCACATCAGCAGATGGAGGTTTCAAAAGCTTTACTTTATCCATTTCAGTAAAGTTGGTTCTACTCTGATGATGCAGCACGTTCCCAGTCTATTTTGAGAGCCTTCCAACCTAAGTGGCTCATCGTCCTGCTGTGTATCAGACATTGTTTCCCGGTTATTCATATGGTTGGCTAGTAATGAAACAGACAGTGTTTCTCTGCTATTCATAAGATTTTCCCTGGCCACTTCTTTTTCTTTCCCTTCCACTTTTCCTACTGCTTGGGGGTTAGGGCCTGGTTCCCTCCCCTTACCTGGATCACTCTGCCACTTGCTCGCTCTGTCCTGGAAGCCCTGCCTTTCCTTTCCTTTTCTCTCTGCGTTTCCTTTCATGTGGTAGGCTTTCCTATGGGTTCAGTTTTCAGGTGTGCATCAGACACCGTGATCTCCAGACTCCAGGGGTTCACAGATCAAGCTTCTTGCACAATCTGAGCAGCTCAACAGGTTTCACAAAAGAAATCTTCTTTTACAACCTCTTTAACCTGAGTTCTTCTTATATCATCTTGTGGGTGTAGAGCTAGTAGTTGCAAAACCAGGCTTGAGCCACCTCTGTGCAAGTCCTTAATAGATGGTCTAGCACTAATTCTCTGAGACGTGAATGGCCTCCTCCTTCCTAGTCTGTCTTAGTATGCAAGCCGCGCCGAAACCTGTGCACCATGTGCAACCCCACTGGCATTTGAAACACTGGTGGCACAGGTTCAAGCCTCACAGCAACACACCACCTGTCTCTGTTAGCTGTTCAAAACCTCTCGACCCCCTTACCAGGATGTCTGCCACTTGCTTACTCTGTCCTGGATGCCCTGGCTTTCCTGTCCTTTCCCCTCCACTTTTCCTGCCATTTGGGGGTTCGGGCTTGTCTCTCTCCCCTTACCTGGATCCCTCTGCCACTTACTTGTCTGTCTGTCCTGGATGCCCTGGCTTTCCTTTCCTTTCCCTTCTGCTTTTCCTGTCGCTTGGGGCTTGGGGCCTCGGTCCCTCCTCTTACCTTGATTGCTCTGCCACTTGCTCACTCTGTCCTGGATGCCCTGGCTTTCCTTTCCTTTTCCCTCTGCTTTTCTTGGCACTTGGGGTTTGGGGCCTGGGTCCTTTCCCTTACCTGGGTCTTTCCCCTTAGCTGGGTCCTTCCCCTTAGCTGGATCTGTCTGCTGCTTGCTCGCTCTCTCCTGCATGTCCTGCCTTTCCTTTCCTTTCCCTGTGCTTTCCTGCTGCTTGGGGGTTAGGGCCTGGGTCCCTCCCCTTACCTGAATCCCTCTGCCACTTGCTTGCTCTCTCGTGGAAGCCCTGCCTTTCCTTTTCTTTTCGCTCCACTCTTCCTGTCATTTGATAGGCTTTCCTGTGGATTCATTTTTCAGGTGTGCATCAGACACTGTGATCTCCAGACTCCAGGGGATCACAGATCAAGCTTCTTATGCAATCTCAACAGCTCAACAGCTTTCACCAAAGAAATCTTCTCTTTTAACTTCTTTAACCTGAGTTGTTCTTATATCGTCTTGTGAGTGTGGAGCTAGTAGTTGCAAAACCAGGCTTGGGCCACTTATGTGCAAGTCCTGAATAGATGGTCTAGCACCTCATTTTGGAATGTAAGGGTACTTACAACCTGTTGTTTTGTCTTCAGTCTTTTTGAAAACATTCTGTTACACCTTATAAATCTACATAATAGCAAGCCTTTTAAACTAGGCTTTTCAATAATATTAATTGACTAGTTTCTTTTGTGAAAAACAACCATAATGCATTTCATACTATTAAAACAAATAGATTTCTTCCTTTCTTAAAAGATTTGCCTGCTTTATAGATACCTCATTCTTTTAAGCATTCATCTGATTTGTACAATATCTGAGATAATATGGTTGATGACTCTGGTGTAAGATTTGATTAATTATTAAAATTTAAACTGTAAGTTTTAAAGCTTCCAGTAAGCTCTTGTGTCTTCTAGAAACCAAATTGGATTTTATCTCATTATGACCCTTTGTTAAATAAATAATAGGTTAAACTAGACATAGACCAGAGTATGTTTATCAAATATATTCTTTGAATCCTTGGGTGATACGTGCTCTCTCCTTTTATTGGTTGCAGTGTCTACATCCTTTCTAGATGGAGACAGAAACACTGCAAAGAGTTATTGGGAAATTTAGCCACTATGTTAATTATGTTTCATGTTGGCAGTGGGAGTCAGTGGAAAGAACCTAGAATTGAGACTGGAAAGCCTGCATTCTAGTTTTTGTGCAATCTCTGATATCATTTCTGTATATTTAGGCAAACCACTTAACCTTGTAGGGGTCTCATTTTCCTTAACAGCATTATAAGTTTGTAGGACTAGGTTCAAAATTTTCAAATCTCTGTATCAGGGAAGCCTAGAGTTACCCATACATACACTGAAAATTCTACAGATGTTTAGTTTGAATTTCATTTACGTTTTTCTAAATGTGTTTTGGGTAGATTAATTTCTTCTGTACACTTTGGACTAAAGTGTTCTTTTGTCATCTTTATTTAATTGAAAGGTGTCCTGGTACAACAAGGAAACTTGGTTACGCCCTGCAAAAAAAAAAAAAAAAAGAAAATGAAAAAATTGATTACTTGTTTGTAAGTTATTTACTTTTGTGAATTAGGATCCTCTTAGGTACTGCACATCCAAAGAAAATCCAGAAGTAACTTGGGAATGGGTGTGGATATTACGGCATCTACAACCCCAGATTTCAACTGTTTGTGTTCCTTTTTAACTTTTAAAACAATTATATTTATTAATTACTTTCATTTTGTGTTACTAATTTATCTCAGATTATAGATAGTATAGCATTTTATAGATATAGAGTATACAGAGAGCATAGATTCTCTTTCAAGTATTAAGCAATGAAATTGTCATCAAAATTATAAGTGCTGATCTGTTTCCTCTTGTGAAGATACTGTGTGTTACATTCCTGTGGCTGCCATAATAAACTATCACAAACTACGTGGCTGAAAACAATAGAAATTTAGCCTCTTACAGTTTTGGAGGCTAGAAGCCTGAAATAAAAGTGTCAATAATAGCATTTGTTCTTTCTGGAGGCTCTGAGGGAAAAATCTAGTTCATGCCTCTCTCCTAGCTACTGTGTTGACAATCCTTGGCATTCCTTGGCTTATATACACATCTCCTCATTCTCTGCCTCTTTGTTCACATGGTGTTCTCCTCTGTGTATCTCTATCTGCCTCTTTGCCTTTTCCTCTTCTTGTCAGGATGGCAGTCATTAGATTTAGCCCATCTCAATTCAATATGAACTTAATGTAATTATATCTACAAATCCCTCTTTCCAAATATGGTCACATTCTAAGATTTCAAGTGGACACGAATTTTAGAGGAATACTATATAGCTCACTACTGTTTGCTCTCTGACCCTTCACATTAATGCCCTTCCCAAGTGCTAAAATACATTCACCCTACCCCAGCATTCCCAAAAGTCTTAACTCATTCCAGCATTAACTCTAAATCCAGAATCTCATCAAAATCAGGTATGGGTGGGACTCTGGGTATGATCCATCTGGGGCGAAATACTTCTCCATCTGTGGACTTGTGAAACTATAAAACCACTATTTCCTTTCAAAATACACTGGAGAGTCAGGCATAGGATAGACATTCCCATTCCAAAAGGGAAAAAATACTGCAGTAGTGTCCCTCTTTTTGTATCAAAATCTATATTAATTTCTTGGGGGTTGCCATAACAAATATCATAAACTTTATGGCTTAAAAACAATAGTAATTCATTCTCACTGTTTGGGAGGCTGGAAATCCACAGTCAGGCTAGAAAGTGTTGGCAGGTCTGTGCTCTCTCTGAAGCCTCTAGGGAAGAGTGATTCTGTACCATTTCTTAGCTTCTGGTTGTTGCCAGCATTCCTTGGCTTGCAGCTGTAGCACTCCAGTCTCTGCCTCTGTCTTTACATGGCCTTCCTCCCTGTCTCTCCTCTTTATTTTGGTGTGTCCTGTCTTCATATAAGATACCAGTCATTGGATTTAGGGCTTACCTAGATCCAGTATGTTCTCGTCTTAATTTAAATAATTACATCCATAAAAACCCTATTTTCAAATAAGGTAACATTCTGAGGTTCTAGGTGGACCTGAGTTTTTGAAGGACACTTAAACCTACTAAACATAACATCTGTCTCATTGTCCTAATTTGAGCTGTTTCTCATCAAGATTCTTATCATCTGGTTGGCATTTTAATATATACTTTTATTTTAGACAGCATAAAATGTATGCATAAACAGTTGTGTTTTCCAGTGGAATACTTAATTTATGTTCTACTGTTATATTTATTTTCTAGGCATATTGTATTTTAGCAGGATCATTGGTATCCGAAGGAGGTATGTACGGTCATAAAATATTTTTTTTATTTTTAATGTATTACTGTTTATTCAGCAGTTTGTTTTTTTAGTTTTTCAAGTTCTTTTAATAAAAGAAAGACTTGGAAGAAGAAAGGGGCTATCCATTTTTCAACAAATTCGCCAATGAAAACCTTACGAATAGCAGTGAAGCACTGTCTGATAATACTATTGGAAAAGTTAGGATTGTGAGGATCCTGCACAATGTTCTGTTGTACATAGGGTTGCTATGAGTTGGAGCCAAGTTGAGAGCACCTAACAACAATAACAACAACTTGATTAAAGAAAATGATAGGAAGAAATACCTAAGTTCTGTCTACTTTCAGGAAATAGACTATTTGTATAACATGTTATACTTGTTCCTCTTATGAATGGAGGTGCAAGAAAACCTATGTTTTATTCTTGAAAAGCATATCATAATCTAATAAAACTTAAAATCATGTAAAAACATAACTATACTGAGTTTTTAAAAATCAAGTTTTAAAATTGGTTGTAGAAGGCTGTATGAAACAAATTCATTGATGCCACCACTCACCTATCAGTTTGTTGTACTGTGGTGGCTTGCTTGTTGCTGTGATGCTGGAGGCTATGCCAACGGTATTTCCAATACCAACAGAGTCACCCATGGTGGACAGGTTTCAGTGGAGCTTCCAGACTGAGACAGACTCAGAAGAAGGAAGGGCCTTCAAAGAATTGGCCAGTAAAAACGTTATGATATATTACTGGAAAACTTTCTGAATAGCCCTAAAACATTGTCTGATACATTGCCAGAAGATGAGCCCCTGAGATCAGAAGGCACTGAAAATATGACTGGCGAACTGCCTTCTCAAAGTAGAGTCGACCTTAAATGTGGATGGAGTAAAGCTTTCAGGACCTCCATTTGCTGATGTGGCATGACTCAAAATGGGAAGAAACAGCTGCCAGCATCCATTAACAATTGGAACATTGAATGTAAAAAGTATGAATCTAAGAAAACTGGAAGTTGTCAAAAATGAAAAGAATGAATAAAGATAAATACCTTAGGCAATAGTGAGCTGAAACAGACTGATTTTGGCCATTTTGAATCAGACAACGGTATGATCTATGCTGGGAATGAAAATTGAAGGAGAATGGCATGGCATTCACCGCCACAAGAAATGTTTCAGGATCTGTCTTGAAGTACAAAGCTGTCAGTGATAGGATAATATCCATATGCCTATAAGGAAGACCAGTTAATACTACTACTATTCAAATTAACATACCAACCACCAAAGCCAAAATTGAAATTGAAGAATTTACCAACTTCTGCTGTCTGAATTTGACAAAATATTCAGTCAAGATGTGTTGATTTTTACTGGTGATTGGAATGGAAAAGTTGGAAACAAAGTTAAGACTCACTGGTAGTTGGAAATATGACCTTGGTGATAGAAATGAAGCCAGAGATCACATGATAGAATTTTGCAAGGCTAACAACTCATTCATTGCAAATAACTTTTTTCAACAACATAAACAGTGGCTATACATGTGGACTTCTCCAGATGGAGTACACAGGAATTGGATCAACTACATCTGTGGAAACAGGCAATGGAGAAGCTTAATATTTTCAGCAAAAAACAGGGCCAGGAGCTGACTGTGGAAGGCCATCAACTGCTCATATGCAAGTTCAAGTTGAAGCTGAAGACAATTAAAAGAAATCCATTGAGAGCCAAAATAGGACCTTGATTACATCCCACCTGAATTTAGAGACCATCTGAAGAATAGATTTGACTCATTGAAGAACAATGACAAAAAAAAAAACAGATGACTTTTGGGATGACAATAAGAAGAACATATGCGAAGAATGCAAAAGTTCATTAAAAAGACAGGAAAGGGCTGTGGTACATACACACAATGGAATACTATGCAACCCTAAAGAAGAATCCAGAATTTGCAAAACAGTGCATAATGTGGATGAACTTGGAGGACATTATGCTGAGTGAAATAAGTCAGTCACAGAAGGACAAATACTGTATTAGTCCACTATTGTAAAAAAGTCAAGGAAAGGTTTATACATAGAAGGAAACTTTCTTTGTTGGTTACCAGGGATGGCAGGGGAGGTGAGGCTAAATTCCTAGATAGGTTGGGGTGGGCTGAATTATATATATAAATACATATATATATATATATATAGATAGATAGATAGATAGATAGATAGGAGCTCTGGTAGCATAGTGCCTAAGGCACTTGACTGCTAACCAGAAGGCTGGCGATTCAA